GTTTAGACTATAGCCCATTTTTTCGTCTTACAAATTTCAGTATGAGGTTTCAGGTGCGAGTTCAATGCTGAAGGCTTTATGTAGTTCAAGCTGCTTGCTGATTTTTTGCCCTCCACGAAAACCTAGAAACCAAAAGATAAGTATGGGGGGGGGGGTATCGCCCCAACATAGAAGAATGTAAATTATACCCTCGTTGATGATACTGTCCAATGAAAAGTACAACCGTAGTTGATTCAACCACCATCTTCAAATAAATGATTTGGCTATTTCGAGTGAAGGTTGGTTATATCTACACCATGCTCTACGTGGCTGAGCTAGGTCTCAGACTCTTTGCACATGGCTTCGGCCTTTTCTGCACGGAGGACTGGATGTGGGCGCTGCTCCGGCTTTGATATTCCGTGCAGTGCTTCATAGGTTTTATTTTTGTGAAGTAGCGTTGGTGGCTTTCGGGAATTTCCGCCATCCATAGCAAGGGATTATGATACCATCCCCCTAAAGGTACCCCCTTCAGGGTGTAAGGAGGTAGCCAGGATTAGGGTTCAGGGTTTAGGGTTTATAGGGTTCTGGGCTTAACAAGGCCTAAGGGAGATAGCATTGTAATCCTTAAGCCCTATATCCTAAACCCTAAGCCCTGTAGTCGCCCAGGCTATTGGACTGTTTCATTGTCGCAACATCTCTGTGGGATGTATTTGTCGATGTGCTAACAGCCATCCTGCCTGAGGAGGACGGATCCTCGGTCTTCAAAATTGAAGAGGTTATAGTCCCCCTTAAGGATGGGTATATTATAATAAGATCCNNTCTACTTAAGGGGGATTATAAGTGTCTAGGATAAGGCCCTAGGGCTTACAGCAAGGGTTTGGCTTAGGCTTTAAAGGTATTTTGGGTGTTTTTGGCGGGGAGCCGGGCCCTGGAAGCAGGCTGCAAGCGAAGATGTGGAGTACGTTGGGCCATTTCGCCTTACAGGATCAGTTCCCACAGGTTGTTTTGGGTCTGTGAAAGCTCCTAGCAATTCTTGGCGGTAAGAGTTACAAGAAGGGTAATGACCCAAGCAGTATACTTGCGGTCCACTTAACAAGGTCGTCCAACGATCCCCATATGCCCCTTCTGTCCCCGAGGCTTGTCTCTTTGAAAAAAAATCCACTTAAGTTTCTTTGTGCTGTCTGGAACCCAGCAAGGATTCGAGTCCGTCTCAGGACTCTCGACGCTTAAGGCCTTTCGAGTAATTCGGGTGACGAGGGTGCTGAAGATTGCTCAGCTGCTGCGACTAGCCTTCAACATAGATGAGCTCTTATTGCAACATTTGTGTTTTTCCATGGAGTTTCTACTAAATTGCAGACCGCAAGTTTCTTCTGTTAACATGGATGCCTGCTTCAGGCTCACAAGGGGGATCGCGTTTGGGTCGTCATCCCAAGGTTTTTTTTTTTTTTTT